CTGCCCGAGCCGCGGCCGGCCTGGCTGTTGAAGATCAGCTCAGCTGTCGTTGATCCAGTATTTTCAAAGCATGCAGGTTATGGCACCGCGAACGTGGAAGCGATCTCAGCAGAAGATACCTCCTCAAATTTCCTTTTTCCCCCCCCTCAAGCTAACTGTTGAATAATTGCTGTCTCTAACAGAAGCATTGGATGCTGAACAGTCAAAGTGCACGACTCCTCCCATCCTAACTAATTTATCACCAAATTCTTCCCGTGGCTTCTTCCTGCTCCCTCCTCTGCCCCGTCTGCTGGGGACTTCCTTGGTGCCCTCTGTACTTCTCCACTGACGCTGGCAGCATGGATGAAGTGGAGCAGCCTGGCACAAACCTGTGACCCCCTCAAGAATTTAAAAAGAACCTGATGGTCTGCAGTGGATGAAGCCATTTGCTCTCAACTGCATTTCCAGTGGCCAAAGGACATCTAGTGTGGAGAACTGCTGATGTTCCTTTTAATATTGTTTAAAAAAGCATTAGTAGGGAATTGTGGGGCTTCTGGTTGGCATTAATCCTGAGAGACTTAAAAAAACGTTCAGGAACGGTATAAAGCACTCAAAAGATACAATGGGGGTTTGTCTGTTACAATTAGTGCTTTGAAAGGAATTCCTAGCCAGTTATTCTGGAAGACTAAATGAAATCTGAGTGGACATTGTAAACCTGCATTACACAGATAATGTTGAGTTCTACCTACATCAATAGTCTGCTCCAGTCCCATAATACTCCTTCAGGATGAACTAGGGAGGGGTCCTGTGTCACGGCCCCAGTTCACAGCTTGGAAATGGTGCAGAAAGGACAACAGGGGGCGTTCAGAGCTGCTGTGGCTTTGACAAAGGAGCAAAAGTTCAGGGATCAAGTATGTAATCTGCTTGAGGGTGGAAGAGTTTCTGGGAGGTGGGGTGGCTGTACTTCCATCTTCGCTGGGATATGCAGATCAGGACTTCGTAACTGCTGTCAGAGGGGATGTGAACACCTGGGGGTATCTGAGAGGCGGTGGTTGACAGTGACTGCAAAGGAACATTCTCAGAGAGCTGTGTTGTGTGTGTTACCAGAGATGGAACCAAAGAGCAGGTGCTAATGTTTACATTTCTTATTTTTCTATAGGTGAAGGAAGCACTTCTTCCTGGGCTTATCTGGACGAAGCCACCATCATCTTTCAGAGGCTCAGCACCTTCACTGTATTTTCTGCAGCACTCATCTGGTGTCTGCTGACACAAAGGTATGCAAATATAAAGGCTAAATATATACCTTCCCAATTGTAGCTTTTGCTTCTGGAGCAGGACATGGGACATTTACAGCTTAGATGAGCAATTTAAGTTCTTCATTGTCAAAGAGGGCTTGAAATTCTATTTTGAGTAAGCCTGACCATTTCTGCTGTTTAAAAACCAACAATGTTTAACATTAAAAATTACTGAAGAATTTTACCATTTAAATAGCTATTGAAGTTACTGCTCTGCTTCCTTGCGATTACTCAAGACCTTCTTAACGTGGTTCTGAACTAAAGCTAACCCTTTGCCCAGAGATTGCTGATTGAAAGGGCCATTCACAGTCTGAGCACGGTCAGAAGCACAGCAGAATGAATTGTTCCTCTGTACGTGTGGCTGAGCAAACATCGAGACAAGTGTTCTGATACACTTTGACTTTTTTTGGATTTAATTTTCAGAATGGTTTAAGTAGGTATGATTTTCCCATCAAAATTATAAATAACCCCAAATTCCTAAAGAACTGACACCCACTCAGTGTATTTTTGCAAGGTCTGTAGTCACGAGTTGTGGGCTGCCAGCCTCTAGCTGCAGGTGCTCTTCATGTCTGGAGGCGTAGAGCGTGCTGTGCACGTGTGACTGTAGCTTGCTAGCTCAAACACATCCTCACAGCTTGAGTCACCAGACTAGAATTTGTTAAAAAAAAAAAGTAACAGAATTTTTAAACAAACCCATAATGCTAAATCACACAGAGGAGGGTGGCAAGGAGCCCCCATGACTGGCAGCTGGGGCTGCCCCAGCAAAGGGGCTTGCCAGAGACCCCAGAACTCCAGGGATGGAAAGCAAGCAGGAGGGGTTTGTTCAGAGCTTCACCAGCTCCCTCCGGGATTTGCATGCGCCTTCTGGCCTATCCTGCCTTTCCCCCCCATTTAGCGCCCTGGCCCTGCCCCAGCCCCCCAGGTATGGGGAACCTTGCGTGTGGCTCTGTCCAGAGAAGGTGTGGGGCTGTGACAGGAAGGGCACTAGGCCAGCTCCCTCAGACTACATTTACTTGATTTGCTTTAAATTGTGCATTGGAATGGTAGTTTCACCCAAACTTGATAACAACAGGTAAATAAACCTCATGATTTTACCTTCAAAACATCCTCTCTCTGCGGCCTGTTTGTTTTCAACCATCAGTTTGTCACAGCCAGAGGGGCTCTGTACCCATTTCATCCGCAGCCAAAATGCTCCATAGGCAATGGAATAAGAGGTGAACCCTGCTCTAAAATGGTGTGAAATACCTTGTGTTTAGCCTTTGCAATTTTATAAGAATTCAAAAGTAATTATTTCCTTCAGAAAAAAATATTTCCTTTAATCCCAACTGTGTGAGCATGACTGTGCTCAGTATCTGGAATCTTCTTTTTGTCCAGTTTGCAAAAATATCCCCACGTGAATCCAACTGTCCATTTCTCTAAAAAGGGAATTTTAACTTAAAATAATGGCAACTAAAGAGAACTGCAATACACAAATTAGTTTTACTCATATAAAAATGATTCCTTCACAAACAAGACATTTTAATAGGGATAATGCAAAGTTGTGCAATATTTTTATGTAATCATGCACTGGTCAGAGTACATATTAGCTAAACCATGATGTACAGTTTTTCAGGGGTTTGTTTGTATCTAGGATTTTTTTTTTCATGTCTTCTGTTTAAGAGTCAACTCCCCAGGACAGGGATTGTCTTAAATTAAAGACTTGCCAAGATGCAAGTACTACACGGGTAGGAGGTGCTACCTCAATGGTAATAATTAGCAGAGATGTCAGTGAAGCGCATTGCCACCACCTGGTGACCCATTCTGCTATTAGGAAGGAAAGGAGAAAGTCAGCACAGAAACGTCAGCACTTAAAGGGCAAAAGGGTTTGCTTTAAAACAAACAAAAAGGTTTTCAGAGCCTACACAGAGTAACTCACTGGGACACAATTTTTCCAGGGATTCATGTTATATTCCACTCATTTTAGGCAAAGTTGAGTTACCAATACTATTTATCTGCCTCTTTTTTACAAATTGCAGAAGCCTGAAATCAACGAGCTTTGCTTGACATGTTCAGGGCTTCTATTAAAAAAAAAAAAAACCAACAACAAACCACAGATCTATATTAAAGACTTCCTATAATAACCGAAATATTCCTGTATTACATAAAAGCACATACTAAGAAAAAAGTGTTTCTTTTTCTTTTGGCATAGTTTCTTTTTAAAACTATTTATTAAAAATATCCACCAGTGCATCTGCTGCCCTCAGAACTAGAAGGCAGCATTTCACAAAACAAATCCATACAATTATTTACATTTGTTCACATCTTAGATTGTTCCATTTTCAATGCTGGATCCATTAACTGGAGGCTCAACAATCAGTCTTGGCTCTATCAGCGCATCCCAACTTTCAGTTATCTGAAAACAAAATACAGACAATAGTTAGCACGTACAAGCTGCACAAGCAGATGCAATTTCTCCTACATTATGCTTTGCCTAGACTCGAATGGCACTACTGCACCACGATCACAGATCCTTCCTGCGATTCATTGATCTTAGTGACCCTCAACCTGTCTGACAGCCTGGGTAAGGAAGGACGCAGGTAAGAAAAACAGCGCATGGAATGAATAAGCTTGTAAGAACCGATAGTCTATTTAGATGTTACATTGTTTGTTTTAGTAGCCAGAAGTTACACAGTTTGATGACTGCTTTTGAATCTAGTTAATTGAATAACAGGCAGGAAGCAATACTTGTAATCATGCACATTCTTGCTAGAAAGAAACAATTATTTTTGCTTTCTTTCATTTTAGTCAGATGCATTATTATAAAGGGAATCTCACTGAGACCAATGGAGCCACAAAGCAGGGCATCTATCAGCTAGGCAGAACTTGTAATGGGCTTCAAAAGAGGACACCCACACACCTTTGTATCCTGAGGAACCGCATACTCGATCAGTTCTGCTCCATCTGCAGACTGGTAAACCAGATCGAATTTCCCTGGCTCTTTAGCAACTTAAAAGCAAACAAACAAACAAACAAACAACTCCATTAACTATAAGCAAAAAGGTTTAAGTGTTTCCCATATTTAGAAAGCTAGTCAAAACTAGTAGGTTTTTTTTTTTTAAATTGGGTGTTTGGGTTCATAATTGTAACAAAAAATCTGAGGTAGAACTGAATGCTACACATCAAAATTAAAGTAATTATCTAAGATAACTATATGCATGACAAAGTTAATCGACAGTATGCTGCCTAAATTTGAGAAAAATGCTCATACGATGATGATTCTTTAATTCTGGCTTAAATGGCAACTGCACTATACACATTAGGTTTCAGAGACATTCATAGTTTCAGATGTCTGAAGTGCATTTTGTCATTGCAGGGACTCAGTTCCACATCCACTGAAGACAGTGGCTTCACTGCCATCGCAAAGAACGGCATTATGATGCCATAATTCCACATAATAATTTTTTTTTTTCATTAAATGAAACCACAGTAGAGATAAGTTACTGACTCCTCATACTGAGTGGACAAATGTTTATTTTGTAAATACGTATCATAGGAGCATCTTCAATACAACTAGAGTTGGAATTTCTCCATTTAAAGACTTTGGAGAGGGAGTGAGGAGGGGAGGGGTGTGTTAAGAAGGAACCTGAGGAAATTGGAAATGCTCCTGAAACATGAAGCGTGCCTCAGACTAGCTGTTTTCCAAGTGATGCACATGACAACAAGCATTCGGTGTCCCAGGGTACGTACGCTGTCCTGCTGATGACGAAAGGATCTCAAGCTCGATCTGTTTTTTATCAGGATTCCAACTGATTATTTTCCCCTCCTTCATAAAGCAACAAGAAAAGAATCAGGCAAGATATACTTCAGCACTGGATACCAATTCCATATTACACCCACTGTGGTACTTGATCACAGTTAGGGGAAGTGTATCTGTCAAGTTTTTCCTCTATGTATAAAATCTGAAAAGTGTTAAAGCTCAGCAATCTGCAGTTACTGGCATCAATAAACCAAAATTATTCATTGTTACCATCCTTGTAGATCAAATCAATACTTATCCAGAAACCAAGTTATTTGAAGTAGCTACAAAAGTTTACTTGCACCAGTTTCAGGAATTTGCCTTGACTTCAAAGAGCAGTAGACTAGAACACAGCTAGATTTTTCTGCTTGAAGGTCTGCATCATCTCTAAAATATTAATGATCATTAATAATGCTTGTGGGGTTTTTTTAAAATAACTGCTACACCTTTCAAATTTTCAATTAGTTTTGGATTCTAGAGTTTTCACTTTCACTGCTGCACCAGGAATAGCTTGTGGAGTCAAGTGGACGAGAAGAAAAATACTGCACAACCTCAAAATATTTAAGCCTTACCTCACCTGTAATAGTTTTGTGAGTGAATTAAGGGAGGAAAGAAAAACAGTACCTTATAGTCTGAAACTTCAGGACTGTAATTTTCAGTCAGTTCCAAGCGCTGTGGAAAGAAATACAAATAACAAATTACAACTGTTCCTGATCCTTGATGATGCCACCTATAGCCAGACACAGTTTCTTCAGCAAGAGGAAAGAGCAAGAACCAAGTCTCCCACTCCTGGATCCTGCTGCCTGTCACAGCCCCAGGTAGTCTTCCAGGACTCCCTGCTCCAAAGGGTTTATGTTCAGGTCAGGCTGTGAGAGGAGATCAGGGAGATGAATCCCAGTCTCCTCAACTGCAGTGATTTTGTCTTCATTTACTTTCATTTACTTTTTTAAAGTGTATTTGTACAGTAAGATTTGCAATAACACTATAGAAATGCCATAGGGAGGAATAACAACATAGAGATTTTTTTTCTTTTCATAGCATCTAATTTTAATGCTGACTTTCCTTGTCTGTTGGAAAGAGAGAGGTAATGTGCTTCTTTCTGGCATTCTCATTTAAACATAAACGTTGAAAGTACACCCATGGTAGAGACACAGACTTTGTGAAGGTGCAACCAAAAACTCTTATTATTTGTGAACTGACTTGTGTGCTCACTAAGAGTCGTTGTACAGATGTCCATAGAAATTCACACTGAAATGACAGCAGAGACAACATTTCTTTGTGTTCTACAAATACAGGATGTCTAAACAAATCCATTTAACTTACGCACATGCGCCAAACCTTTGTAAAAACCAAAGTCAGAGCTTAAAACAGAAGAATTTTTTAGAGCCAACAACAGAAACTGTATGTTGTATGGGAAACTGTTAGGTTAGAAAGACAGCAAGAGAGGAGCAAACGCCTTCAGAGATGCCTACAAACATTAGGCACAAGATGGTTTAGGTGCTGAACCATCTGCTTAAGTTTAAACCAAAATTTTTTCAAAAGAACAAATAAGTAGGATGAAGACTACTTATTGAGTTACACTTCTAGGATAACGGTCCCAGAACAATGTCAGATTAAGTTCTTCAGTGTAAGCTTTTGGTTGCCAGGACTACGCTACCTGTAGTGTGTCCCGCAAAATTTACAGTGGCCCAAATGAAACAATTTTAGCCCGCTAGCATTCAGCATTTCACAAGCACTTTACCTTAAAGGCAATTCTTTCTCCCACTTGCGGTGGGGCAGCTAGAAGAGGTAACACACTATAGTCTCGCTTGGGGACTTCCACGGGATTCTGTGAAACAAACAGTAAACCCACTGATTTAATTACTGTGTTAATAAAACCAGAAGACAATGTGTATGCTGTATGGATTGTAAGACGTTCTAAGAAGAGTAAGGTACGTACCTGAGTGCTTTGTTTTGAGATATGTAATACAATTGCTTAAATACTGTTTCATAAACACTTCCTCAGGCTGCTAAATGGGCATACAGTAAATATCAGATTTACGAAGTTAAGATCAACCTTTATCCTACTAAGCTATTTCTACTTTTACAAGTTACTCTCATCCTGCACATTTTTAGTATAGTTAAAGCTGCAAGAGAAAGGTGACCCTATGGCTGCATAAGTCACTCACCTGGACAAGAACAGAAGTGTTTGTCGCAGCTTCATTTAACTGCCTCTGTTTCTGGCCTTCACTGCTGTAGTTATAGAAGAAGCCAGGGTTTGCTCCTCTCCCACGGCCTTGGCCCCTCATCATCCCACGAAACCCACGGCCCCTAGGTCCTCTCCAGAGGTTAGCCTCTCCTGTTCCACGCCCCCTTCCACGACCTGGGCTGGCAAGTGGTCCTTGAATACTGGCTGGCAACTGTTTAGTACAGTTTCTTACTATGGAATTACTCAGTCCAGCATTTGCTGCAGATTTTTTAATAACAAGTGTTTCTGAATCTGAGCTATCGGACTCTGCAGAGGAGGTCTTTGCTTTGGGAGCCTTGGTGGTACCGGTTTTTACAGCTGCCGCGCTGTTAGGCAGCGACTTTTCCTTTGCAGTACTTTCTCGTGATGTTGCCTCTTTCTCATCCTCCGTACTCGAGTCAGAATCTGAACTAGAGGACTGGGATTTTTTAGCATTTTTACTAATTGCAGTCTTAGTGGAATTTTCAGTGTTAGACTTTACATTCAATTTATTAGAAACAACAGTTTTCACATCAGAATTTGCAGCAGCTTGGGATTTGTCTTTGGGAAGTGTTGCCACGACAGGTTTATGGGAAGATTTATTTTGCTTTATGTTTAATTCACTGCTGTCACTGTCGGACGATGTGCTGGAGGAATCTGAAGTTCCCACCCTCTTTTTTCTGGACTGTGTTATGATTTTTTTGGTGTTATTTTTACCAGAATTTAGAGAAAAGCTCTCCTGTGACTGTTCTAAAGCCATCTTTGCTGCAGCAGCCTTTGTCTGCTTTTCATCCTTCTTTTTTGTTGCCAACTGCCTCTCCGTTTTTTTAAGCTTTTTAGATTGGTCAGTAGAGCTGTCTTCCTTACCTTCTGCGAGTTTATTTCTTCCACTAACTTCTTCCTGTCTTTTCCTTTTCTTGTACTTTTTTTGAGAGTCACAAATATCTACAGAAGTCTCTTCCCTACTAGAGGAATACTCAGGATTATGCTTATTCTTTTTCTTTTCCTTTTTATGCCTGTCTTCTTCATTTCTAGAGAACTCTTCCTGCTTTTGTCTACGCCTTTTTTTGTCTTCTTTTGGTGTGTAAGAGAAGCCATCATCTATTTCTTCATAGTCATCTGCGACTATCTCTTCCAGTTTTACTCTGTCAAAAAAAAAAACCAAAACACTATTAAAAGCCACTGTTCAGCATAATTCGCACCTTTTCCTCGCACGTTAGCAGCTCAGGTAAGGTTGTCTTTTGGGAGCGGGGATGCTTCACCTGTGCAGAAAGTTCAGCTGAACTTCAGGACGGCTCAGAAAGCGATTCCCCCCCGGAGCACGGGTTGCTCTCCCGAACGCGGGCTGACAGCCACGGGCCCTCACCTCACGACATGGGCTGTCGGCACAGGCCCGCTCGGGGCGGGTGGCGGGAGCACCGGGGCTGGCAGGCAGCGCCGTCCTCCCATCCTTGAGGAGATCTCCAAGCCCTTGGCTCTCTCCAGCCCCTTTCAGGCATCCCGGGGTTTCTCAGGCACCGCGGGCTTTGGGGAACGCCGCCCGCGAGCACCCGGC